CATTTCCAGTCCAGCCCAGAACAGAACCTTCCATCTCGACAGAAATGGAGTTCCAACTGTATCTTCATCTCTCTAGCATGAGTATTTATTGTTATAGTTTTGTAAAAGGCAGTTCTGCCTAAAAACAGTTTAAATTCCATCAACCATTCTGGCCAGAACAACCTCTTTATACTGAGATAAATTGTTAAAGTCCTCACCAGTCTGAGGCAAGAAAAGAACTTACTTGGGAGATATTCCTCACCCAAATTCACAATCGTTTGTTTGCAGAAATCAGTAACTTGGGGCGCAAGTTATCTATTCCAAACTAAGTCTGCTAGAATTTTTATTACTAGCAGTGGCACGCTCGCACACCAAAGAAAGCTGACTTGTCAACCAGTCTATGGTTCTCAAGGCAGTGGGGAACTTTGCCCTTCCATCACAGGAGTAAACGCAAAACGGGCAAACAAGCTGCACCTTCCCTAGCCGGAAAAACCATTGTTGGTGCTTTAAATTGCCCATTTGCTCAACTGGTGTGCAGATTACCTTATTTCCATTTCCAACGTTTAAGTAAATGTCTTTGTCCTTTTACTTTCATTTATTTTTACATTACTCCATTTACTTAAGTTTACAATATAAATAAGGAAGTACCCCCTATTTGGATTCAAATAAAAATACTAGAAAATCAAATTCCTACCAAATCAAAATATGAAAAATCAGTTTTAGTGCAAAATACAATTTAGGCTAAAAATAATGGCTCATTAAGCCAATATATATTTCATACTAAAATCCCATAAAATCAAGTTTTCTTATTTGATGTGTAAGGAATAAATCCCGCCAAAAATTATCTTAAAAAAATGATTATTCCGAAAAACCATTTTTTATACTTAGTCAATATTGCACCTCTGCTAAAAAAATTATGAGTCCGCCAGTGAGGGGGGTGTGTGGTGGGTAGTGGTTTTCTTACCCTTTTACAACCAAAACAGCTTGTAAAGAGTATGACGGGTGACTATTCATATTAAAAACACTTGCGAAAATATTACCCTCCTCATACATGAAAATGCGAATAAATTTTAAATTAATAACAATCCAACAGAACTCACAAGTAGTAACAATAAGTACACAAGTTAAAATAATACTCGGAAGAGTACTAGTACATGATCAGAAAGAAACACACGACAAATGATATTACAAAGATGTATTTAAATAGTGAAACAAATTAACTAAAACAATATTTAAGAATATTCAAGGAAGGGTGGTTTTTTGGGGTGGAATGAGAGAAGGGAGGGGTGTGTCCTTGGGGAGGGTTGGGATGGAGGGCAATGTGGGCTTAGGTAGGTCAGCTGGGAAGATGGGGAAGTGGTGGAATTTCAGGCAACTTTGGCAACTCAGGCTTTGGCAAAGTTGGGAAATTAGGGTTTAGGAAGTGGTGGCAATTCTGGCTTTGGAAGCTCAGGGACATGGGGCTCTTCTGCCAACTTGAGATCTTCTGGCTTTGGCAAAGTTGGAACATGGGGTACCGTAGGCAATTCAGGTTTCGGCAATGTTGGCAGCTCCGGCTTCGGCAAGGTCGGCAGTTCGGGCTTCGGCAACTGTGGCAGCTCCGGCTTTGGCAACTGGGGCAGCTCAGGCTTTGGCAACTGTGGCAGCTCAGGCTTCGGCAACTGTGGCAGCTGAGGTTTTGGCAAAGTTGGGAAAGTGGGAAGTGGTGGAAGCTCAGGCTTTGGAAGCTGGGGCACTTGAGGGAAGGAGTTAGTCTCCAGAAGAATGCGAGCCCCCGCAACCATTGTTTTGGAGCTCATAGACGACAAGGTAAAAACCAAAAGTAGTGGAAAGACGAAGGCCGGGAGGCCATGAAAGGCCATATTTTGCAGCTAACTGATGATAATATACGGATGTATAGGAGGAAGGAAATCTGTAGTTGTTGCAATGGATATGAGTTGTGGTTTTGCTTTGGGCAGTGAAACAAGTATTTATAGATACAACTTGGATGGGTTTTGAGGTCTCGGAGAGGGTTTGGTCAAAGGGTGTTGTTTGGTGTTGTTAGTTCAACTTCTGAACTGCAATACTTCCATTCATAACTTCCACAACTATATGTATTGCATGAACATCTATTAAGTCGTGGGAAGATATAATAGCAAATTGAAGGAGCAAGTATTCCAACCAACTTTGTTCAAAGCCCGCTCGTTTCATATTTTATGTTATCTTTTTATCCTCAAATGCACACAAGTCGTTTTCCCCTCAACGTAGAGTAGAGGTAATAGTTTGTTCAATCAATACTAACTCTTGGTCTAATGATTCCAACAGTGGTGGAAGAGGTTCCGAGTTCAAACTCCATCCAAATTATTAAGAAAAAATATTGTTCAATCACTTCTAAGAGAACCAAATTTCATGGCAACTCATGTAATATTCTCTATGGATTGGACAAATTATGTATAGAATATGCATGGAGTGCACTTATCAAAGTACTTCTTACATTGACAACTTAGCCTCTTTTCTCATGAAAATTGGTCCATTGTTGGTTTTCCTTCGTTTTTTGACATTCTTTTTCATTTTTTTTCTAGGGTCATGAATCAAATTCCTTCCAACATCCTTGTTCATTTGGGGGTTCACAGTGCAATATTTTTAGTTCTCAGGGTTTAGAGTACTAAGAAATTGATAATTTTTCAATGTAGCATATCTTTCCTAAAATGTGAAAATTAAAAAAATAAAGATTTTTTTAATATTAAGATCTTCTTCTTAGGATTGATACTTTAGATGTCTTATTGATGTCTTTGATTGTACACTTGAAGTTTATTTAACGAAGTTTCTCTTTTGATAAGAAAAAAAATCTTTTCTTTGTTCTTCTTTCCTCTTTTTTTTTCTAATTTTATTTTAAAAGCAAAAATTGAGTTATAATTCCAGCTATTTAAAAAATAAATAATAAAATAATAAAAAATAAAAAAAGAAGAAGAAGAAGAAGCCAAGCGACAAATTTGAGTTGGAACTATGACCAGTTGACGTGGTATTACTGCGTCAAATAATAATAATAATTCCTCTAATTCACACGTGTGTGGGACAGCTAACTTGTATTCGTCTGTCTACTCCATCTCCCAAAAAACCATCCGAAACTCCGTGAACATAGAGAAATAGCGAGAGAGAAAAAGAGAATGGGTGACGATAACGTGAAGGCTGAGGCTTTGGAGATGCTCGGAATGTTCCAAGTCCTTCCGAGATTGGTTGTCTTCGATCTTGATTACACTCTCTGGCCTTTCTATTGGTACGTCCTTTTCTCTTTTTTCCCACTACAACCTGTTTGGTTCCCGAGAAAACTAAAAAAAATTATGTTTTCCCCAAGGAAGCAGCGAAATGCTCCATTCTGTTCTCTTTTTGTATTAGTTTATGTATAACCCAGATGACCAATGAATACGTTTAGTTGAATTTTCCCCTATAATTTGCTTTTCCTGTCATCTTTGAAATTTTCTTAAGACTCTTGTGTGTGTATCTTTGAAATTTTTTTTATACCTAATCTTCATATTTGTAATATATATTTTAACTTTTCTGGTGGATAAAATTAGTTTTGAGTTTTAACTACAGCTGCTTGATTATAACATTGGAAGTGAACACCCATAGCATTGAGCCCGTGCATGTTCTCTATGGATCAATGAGTTTCCCAGTTTAATGTTTAGTGTTATTTTGTGAGAAAATGCATTAACACCCAAGTGTAGGAATTGGTCTAGGCAACAGCAATGGGGTGAGATTTTGGAAGGTCTAGAGGCTACCTCCATTTGTAGCCTATAGCTAGCTATCCATGGACACAAAGAAAAGAAAAGAGAATCTTTGAATTGAGAAATATGCCTAACATATTAGTACTGTTTAACATGTTCTCTTGCAACAAATTGTTTACAAATTTATGTTTGGCGTCGACTTACATCTGTGTTCTTTTTGCAGTGAATGCCGCTCCAAACGTGAAATGCCATCGCTTTATCCCCATGCTAGAGGTATATTGTATGCACTGAAGGAAAAAGGAATTGATCTTGCCATTGCTTCTAGGTCCCCAACTGCAGATATAGCAAAGACATTTATTGACAAATTAAGCATCAAGTCAATGTTTGTAGCCCAGGTGATACAGCAGAGCACTTTTCTTTTTCTTGGTGTTTTCCCTCCTTCGGACGATATCTTTTCTATGCTCCTTTTTTCCATTAGTGTTTCAATTGGGATTAAGAGAACTGGCCAAAGGCATGCTGACTGCAAATCTAGTAATTGAATTTTACTTTTAATTTTGATTTTCTGCTTATACAGGAGATCTTTTCGAGCTGGACACATAAGACAGATCATTTCCAGAGAATTCATACAATGACTGGGGTCCCCTTCAACTCAATGCTTTTCTTTGATGACGAGAACAGGAACATCCAAGCGGTAAGATTATGCCTGCCTTTTCACCATAGTCATCGTCTCCTTTTGGCATCTTGAAATGAATATGAATCAAATTTACAAATACATGACTTTTGCCAAAAGATTTGAAGCGAAGAAAAATGAAGAAAAAATGTTTGAATTATGAACTTGTTAGTGCTTCAAATTTTTATACTTGTGGAGGTTTTATATTGGTATGGTAGCACAATGTGTAAAGGAAAAAATCATCCTGTCATTGGGTAAGGTGAAGCTAAACTTCTGTGCATTCAAGAGAAGTGATTTGGGGTTAGTTTTTTAAGTTTTAACAACACACATGCAGACTTTCTGCAGCCCACATAGGTAAAGCTGAAAAAGGAGATTACAGGTCTAATCATAGGCAATTATGTCTACACACGGGCTGCTGTGAAACCTAATGAGGCATTTGTGCTGCAGAAATAAGCCCACCCTTTTCCCCTGCCACTTTTGCTTCTTCTTATCAGAAACCACTGTTTATCTGTAGTGTGACAAAGATTGTTCCATGCCAAGAGATGTTGTATTCATAATATTCCTGGCCTTGGTGTTCTTATATCTTCAATTTATATGAGACTTGAATCTTGCACCCATTTATCAACACTTTGTGATGGTATTGACAGGTTTCAAATATGGGCGTCACAAGCATTTTGGTAGGTAATGGGGTAACTGTTGGAGCATTGAGGCAGGGTCTTACAAAATACTCTGAAAATGTGAATACATCTGAGAAGAACAAGCAGAAATGGCGCACAAAGTTCTCCAAAAATTCGAGTTCATCTGAGCGGAATGAAAAGAATTGAATCCTCCATAGATGTTGAATCATGTACAACTTCAAAAGTATTGATTTGTTCTTGTATTGTCAGGGATTATCGTGTGACAAGCGCATCCCGGTTATGATAACGATTTGTTGTATCAATTATCAAGAAATTCTCTAGACACTCCCCTGTAGCATCTGCCTCATCTCTAGACACTCAAGACGATGGTCAAGAAACTGTGATGTCATCCTAAAGTAGTATACGTATTTATTCGGTTACATATACACATAAAAACAATAAACAACTCCAGGGCTGAAATATCCAGTTCGAGTTTAGTTAGGTATTCTAAAAAGGGATTTGGAGATTGCCACAAATAGTTCAAACATGCTCAAAAAGTGAAACAATAATCTAAAATTCTGCATGGGCAACTGTTGTAACATGAAGAGAAGTGCTCGGGGAGCTTGTGAAGCAGGAGAGTAAGAGCTTAGAAGTGAAAACATCACCTGCTTTCGGGGGTTCCTTTTACGCATCTATTCAAGGCTTAATTCATGGTTTTAGCCGCCTTTTCTTTGTGGAAAAGGCCTTTTTTTATTAAAAGAAATGGAGACAAAATGGTGAAATGATCATGAAACATGCTAAGGAGAAGTCTTTGTTGCAAGCAAAGGCCCCCAATTGATCTCTCTATGAGCTGAATCTGTAGAAGACGAGGTTTCAATTTCAAAACCAGGAAGAATTTTACTGATTGCGTTTGAAAACACGTGATCCAGGATTTGGAATTGAAGAATTTAATTTCAGGTACATTATTTATTCTAGCATGCCGGAAGGAAAAGGATAAAGTTGGCACCATAGCAAAGCTCATAAGTTCTTTACACAGACACAGCTCAGAGAATATATATGGACTCATACAACCACACAATTAACAATGACTAGGCTCCTATATTCCCAAAAACAAAAAGAGGGGCTGGCCTATTGCAAGCTTTGTGGTAACTCATACAACATACAGCAGAATATTACAAAATATTTGTCTGCCCTTCCTTGCCAATAGGTTCAAGCTCGAAGAGGTCTCGAGCCTTTTTTCCAAATTTCGAGTAACAGAAACTTCCTGCTATTCTGGCCACTGTACACAAAAGAAAGCTATTACGGTCAAATTTCCAACAAACTATTGATACATGAGAATTTATTCATCTTAAGAATTTAATCGTGGCATGATTACTCCTCTTCTCATGAATGAAATCACCTTATCCAACATAAAGGATGATGGATTTATGTGCTAGTTCCAGATTCTAGTAGCCCTCTACATTATAGTGTTATTACCACACTTCCTCTGCGCTAAAACAATGTATGAAGTCCCTCATCACATCGATTACATCAGCTTCATTATGCAGTCAGCATGATCAACGGCTGTGGGAAATCCCTATACAATATGCATCCTATATCTAGCAAGTCGCCTATGCTTATATCAGTTTCATGTTCAGCAAATTCGCAAAGTGCTTCACTACATTGTAGCACTTACTAAAATATGCTTCAATGAGAGGCTGAGAGCGTGAAACAGAGCACACCACTCAAGGATACTGGAAAGAGCTCTGCTCTCTCTTCCCTTAAGTTAAGGAAGAACTTTCTCTCAACGTCAAAGCACAATCTCTTAAACACAGAGATTTTGATCCTGCCATGACCCAATACAGAATATGCATGCTAAATATATGAAAATCAAGAAAAAAATCATATGTTTACATTTTAAAACACATCATGGGTTTCTGAATTACCTTGTACGCCAGTTAAAACTGCATTTCTTCTCTTGACTACAACTGCCGCTAATTCACCTCTTTCAGTGGTGATCTTCCAGCACTAGTGTCAAGTTTTGTTTCTGAGGCAGAGAAAGAAGCATTTGCATTCTCTTCGCTAAAATCATAGAGCTCATCATCCACTGTCAAATTCATTGCTGGTCCCACCTCTACCTTAGACCTTTGCAACATTGTTTCTAAAAAATTCATCATCTTCACATCACCACAAGTGAACTCACCAATATGATCACAGAATCCTTCCATGGGAACTAAAAGTTCCTCCCTTTCTTTTGATAGCTTTATGGTGTCTTGAAGGAGAACCCCTTTTTCAAACTCAAGCTGCTTGACTATGCCTTCCAGTCTCCTGTGTTCACCCATCAGTTTATCATTTTCCACTTTGTTGGCTTCCAATAAAGCTTGAAGTTCCTCTTCTTGTTGTTTTTGAGTAAAGAAGGCTTCCTTCTGATGGATCAATCTTTGGCCCAAACCAGATACTTCTTTCTCCAAATCAACAATTTTTTTGTTCTTCTCTTCAATCACTAGCTCTGTCATGTGTTCGGCCTTCTTTAAAGCTTCAGTCGTAAGCAGATTTTCTACGACTTCTGAAAAAGACAATACAAATGCACTTGTCAAGTCTTCCTCTAACGACGATGCCAATACTTGGAGATTTTTTATGTTCTGGTCTTTCTCATTTATAACCTTGAAAAGCCTCTCTTTCTCTTGTCCAACAGATTTCTCTGCATCTATGCCTGCAAGAATCGCTGCCTCCGCTTCTCTTTTCATGGACTCTCGCTCCATCCATGTGATATCTTTTTGGAGATTTACCATGCAGCTATCCTTCTCCTTCACATTTTTAATAAGGTCCTCTTTGTCTTGTGTTAAGGCTTCCACTTCCACTCTCTTTGCTGCAACTGTAGCTTCTAGAAGGACAATCTGCTGCTGTAGAACTTCAACTTTATTGTTTTGCTCCTTGATAATGGTGATAAGGCTTTCTTTCTCATGCTTAAGGACTTCTTCATTCTCAGATTGTGCAAGAAGTGAATTCTCCATTTGTCTACATTTTTCTTGATTTTCTTCACAGCACACTTTCAAGCTTTCAGCACTAGACTCCAAATTCTGTAACTCATATTTTAATTGACTTACTTCAAGAATTTTCTTAGCCAGCTCAAGATTTGTCTTTTCTAAAGCCTCAGAAACATCTCGTTTCTCACCTTCCATCTGCAGAAATCTCTCTTCCATGTAAAGTTGATGTGCAGATGATTCCTCAAGCATCATTTTATGTTGTTGAATCTCTTCCTCCATGATAACCTGCTGTTGTTCAGTGAGTTCCAAGGACCTTACTCTCTTCATTAATTCTTTGACTTTCTCATGTTCTTGTTCAAGCTGAAGATGAACATTTCTTAAATCACTACTCTTCATCTCCAACTGTGTTGTAAGTAGAGAGATCTTGTCATCCATACTGTTGCACAGCTGCATTTCAGTTTTTGCATCAGATCTTTTGGAGAAAGCCTCTGATAATTCTGATTTATAGATTGTAAGTACTACTGAAATCTCTTCTTTTAGAACCTCAATCATCGAAAGGTAGCTTTCTAGCTCCATTTGAAGCTCCTGTATCTGGTTCTCTTTAACCTTCAATTCAGAGTTATGTCTACTTATATCTCCTTTCAACTTTTCTATTTGGAAACTCAATTCAGATTCTTTAGCTTTCAGAATTGTGGAGCAGTTACCATGTACCTGCTCTAAGCCCCTAAGCTTGTTGCGTAGCTTTGTTAGTGCAGTTGACCCATAATTTCTGATTTGAGCTTCTTGTAGTTCTTTTAGAGATTCTCTCAATTCCTGATTCTCTTGCTCAAGGTGAACAATTCGAAATTCCATTTCTTTTGTGAATGGTTCTTTTGTTGACAGTGAGTTTCTGAGCTTTGCAATCTCTTCATCCCTTTGAACTGTCAAGCTTTCAAATTTTGACCTTTCTTGTTCACACTGCACAAAGACATTCTCATAACGTGATTTGAATTCGGATACTTCAATCTCCAAAGACTTCCTCCTGCTTTCTTCATGAGCTAAAACTTGGTTGCACATCTCTAAACGTTTTTGAACACCTTCAAGAATTCTAGTTTGGGAATCCAAGCTTGTCTGCAATAAAGAGATCTCTTCAACCAGTGCTGATTTTTCCCTCTCCCACTCCTCTTTACTCAACTGGAACTGATCTTGGAGCCTTCTATGTGCTTCTTCAAGATGTCTAAACTGTTCTTTCTTCCATTTCAATTGATCATGAGCATTTCTATTTTCCTCCTCTAGTTCCAATATGATATCATCTCTCTGTCTCAGTTCTTTGGCTTCTTGAGCCTTCTGCTCTGCCTCGAAACAGTTCCTCTCTGAAGTTGATAAGAGTCTTTTAAGGCCCTCAATCTCTTTAGTACTGGCACAAAAATTCTGCTCCAACTCTTTGTTTCTTTCTGTTACTTCATCTAAGGCAAATGCCAACTCCTTATTTTCTCCTTCCAATTTGTGCAATTTGTTCTCACTATCAACTCGAAGTTTTTCATGCAAAGAAGTCAAATGCCTGAAAGACAATTCTTTTTCACGCAAACAAGATTGAAGGGTTTCCGAAACCTTCTTTGCTTGAGAAATTTCCTCAAGCTTGACAATTAGTTCTTGAGCTTGTTTCTCAGTCTCCTGCTTAGCTTCTTGATACTTGATCAACTGCTCACTGTGAGCTTTCTTCAAAGCTTCAGAAAGTTCGGTCTTAACCCGGACTTCAGTCTTAAGCCTCTCGATCTGTGCTTTGACATCATCTAATTCTTTATATACGTCCCCCATTTCCCTTTGATTGTCAAATTGTGAGAATCCCTGCTGCAGTAAAATTTGAAGCATGAAGAAACATGTAAATGAGAGCATTTAAATATACAAAACTCAGAAGACACATGAGAAGTAAAAAAGCAGATTCAAGTAATTAAGCCTAAGAATTCTATGAGTTTTATGTCCATTTTACAATCCCACATGTCCTTAGTATGGGATTACTTGTTTGTATACGAATCATTAGGCACACTGTTTCCCTGCAAGCTGCACGCAGGTTTTGCAGAAGCAATTCCTACCAATGAGTTCACATCATTTGGTATCAAAGCATACACCAGACCTGGTATGGGATTGGGCATAATATGGTTATGACTCTATGGGAACCTGAGGGGTTGCTTGACGCAGGAGCATCCATCCTAGCCAAAAAGGGCTAAATTTTGGCTATAATAAATTATTAAGTTAATTATTTTGCTATCTTTACTAGGATTTAGTTTAATTTCCTTTGTCAGTTAGGGTTTCTTAATAAACTAAGAATAGGAATGCTAGGCTGATGTACTCTAGTATAAATAGGCTATTAAGAGGCTCTTGTATTCAGTTTTTATCAAT